GAATGAATGATCTCGGACACGATTTAGATCGGTATGCTCAGGACGATCTATGGCCAACGGTCCCGCACCTTCCCCTAAACACTTCTTGAAACCTGTAAAACAAAGTTAGCACTCCGACGAGCAAGTTAGTTCTAGTCCGAGCTAACTTGCCGAGTCTACTTAGGATTGCGTACCTTGCATTTAAGGCAACGGTTTCTATTTATAGAAACTGGGCCCAACAGGGGTTCTGACAAACTCTAAAATCGCGGCGTGTTGTCGGGTACGGGAGGGACACTGTTACGGACTTTGTATTAGCTCAGCTCGGTACTATAGGTCCTACCCTGACTGCCGAGGAGCTGCTTTCTCCATTTCGCTCGCGTGTTTAACCAACTCACCTTTTCGATCATGACACATGGCAGGCCAGGATTCGCCTCTAACAGTGGGGAAGTCGGTTTCTTGTCGGTTTACGACATCGGGATCAACCAAAACTCGATCTCGTCCAAGCACCCATTTTAATAAATGGCCTTGACCAACTTCGTTTAAGAGGTTTTTAGTTGTTTTGTTAATTGTTAATATAAAATTAAATGTTAGTTTGGTTTTGAATTTAAATTTGTCTTTTTTTTTAATATTTTCAAGGTTTCCCTCTGTCATCGATATGCATTGTTTTAAGCTCTCACCTCTACAACTATCATTTTGTTGTCTCTCCTTCTTTTAAGCTACCTCTTTCCTTTGTAACAATAGATTGTGTATTAATCAAAATTTTATATGATGGTACTTGGGACAAAAAGAATGTCTATAACGATTTCAAAATCTCTCATATGTCAGTCCATAATGACTCTATGTGTTGTTAGCATAATAATTATTTTTAGTTATTTTACTAATTAATGTCATATGTTAAGTCAATATTGTCTAGTCTTTAGGAAACTAGTTGATGACTTTGTTAGTTGTGGAGTGCTATTTTTGTCTAATTTGGTTATGTATTTGCCTAAATAAATAGGTCATGTATTCTCAATTCAAAGCAGTGAAAATCATTCCTTCCTCACATATTTGTTGTCCCCTGTGGTTATTTTCTTTTCTTTTTAACAGTGGTATCAGAGCCAAGTTTGGGAAGAGTGTGAAAATTCTGAAAGGGAAACACAGGGAAAGGAAAACACAAGGAAGTGAGAGTAATAAGTGCAGTAGCATTAAGTTTTGTTTTGCTCATATTGTTTTTCTATTTTGCAGCATTAATGGCCTCGGAGAGAAACTTTGTGCAAGCAGCTATTCCTCGTTTTGATGGTCACTACGATCATTGGAGCATGTTGATGGAAAATTTCTTGCGGTCCAAAGAATACTGGCATGTTGTTGAAACGAGTGTTGCAACACCTGCAGGGAGAGATTCTCATAGACGCTCAACAGAAGGAGTTGGAGGGACTCAAGTTGAAAGACTTGAAGGCAAAAAATTATCTGTTTCAGGTCATTGATCGTTCTATCCTGGAGACTATTCTTTGCAAAGAATCATCCAAAGATATTTGGGAATCAATGAAGAAAAAGTATCAAGGCTCTTCCAGAACAAAGCGTGCACAACTTCAAGTCTTGAGAAATGAATTCGAGATGTTGCAAATGAAGGAAGGTGAATCTGTGACTAGCTATTTGGCCAACAAAATGCGGTTCCACGGTGAAAAGATGGAGGATGTTGTCATTGTTGAGAAGGTATTGAGATTTATGGCACCTAAGTTCAATTATGTTGTTTGTTCAATTGTAGAATCTAAAGATGTAGATACGCTCTCCCTTGATGAGCTACAAAGTTCGTTGTTGGTTCATGAACAAAACATGAATCGAGATTCAACAACAGAGGAAGAAGCGTTAAAGGCTTCTACCTCTACTTCTTCCTCCAATTTCAGAGGACGAGGACGAGGTCGAGGTTGGAGTAGAGGTACAGGCCGAAGCACAGGCAAAGGAAGAAGATATCAAAGCAACAACAATGGTGGTGCCAACCAATCTCAAGGCAGAGGTAGATGGTGTGATCAACAATTTGACAAGTCCGAGATCGAGTGTTTTCGATGTCATAAATTGGTCATTACCAGTCTGAATGTTACACCAAGCTATCCCACAACAGAGATAAGGAAGAGACTTCACATTTTGTTGAAAAAAATGAAGTCGAAACACTATTGATGGCCACTCAAGATAGCAAGGAACCAGAACCCGATAATTGGTACGTTGATACGGGTTGCAGCAACAACATGAGTGGGAGTAAGTCTTCTTTTTCTCATCTAAATGAAGATTTTCATTCCACGGTCAGTTTCGGTGATTTATCTATTGTAAAAGTAATAGGAAAAGGGGATATAAAGATAAAAACTAAAAATGGCTTTGTGGAAACGATCTCCAACTTCTTGTTTGTTCCTAGTTTAAACAGTAATTTGTTAAGTGTTGGTCAATTACTAGAAAAGGGTTATGTTATTACTCTTAAAGATGATTCTTGTGAAATTTATGATCCTATTAGAGGAGCTATTGCAGTAGTTCCTATGTCTGCAAATAGATTGTTTCCTTTGAAGATTGAAAGTACTCAACCTTGTTTAATGGCTGAAATTAAAGATCCCCTCATGGTTGTGGCATTTTCGCTATGGCCACTTGAGTTTCAGTGGTTTGATGACCTTGAAAAAGAAGAACATGGTCAGCGGTCTTCCTTAGATTATTTCACCTACTCAAGTATGTGAAGAATGTGTTGTTGGCAAACAACACCGTTCTAAATTTGAAAACGGGAAGTCTTGGAGAGCAAAACATGTTTTGGAGTTGGTGCATTCAGATATTTGTGAGCCAATAAACCCAATTTCAAATGGAGGTAAGAGATACATTATTACCTTCACTGATGATTTTTCTAGAAAAACTTGGGTCTATTTTTTATAGGAAAAATCAGAAGCTTATTCTACATTTAGAAGCTTCAAAGCCCATGTTGAAAATGAAGCAAGCAAAACCATAAAGACTCTTCGTACAGATCGTGGGGGCGACTATTGCTCAAAAGAATTCGAAATTTTTTGTGCAAAACATGGCATTCGAAGAGAGTTTACGGCACCCTACACACCACAACAAAATGGTGTGTCCGAGAGGAAAAATAGAACCATTATCAACATGGTTAGAAGCTTGTTGGCAAGAAGAGGAATCCCGAAGACTTTTTTGCCTGAAGCGGTAAATTGGAGTGTTCATATTATTAACAAAAGTCCAACTTTTGCTGTTAAAAATATGACACCAGAAGAAGCTTGGAGTGGAAGAAGACCTACTGTGGATCATTTTAGAATTTTTGGGTGCATCGCATCTGCTCATGTCACAAATCTAAGGAGGAAGAAGCTGGATGATAAGGTTGATAAATGCATCTTTCTCGGCGTAAGTGAAACATCTAAAGCATTTAAATTGTTTAATCCACTAACAAAAAAGATGGTGATTAGTAGGGACGTAGTTTTCGATGAAGAAAACATATGGGATTTGAATAGGCAGCAGCCTACCCAAGTTCTTACAGAAGATAATGATAACGAGGAGCAAATTTCAGCCCCTCTTATTGTTGAAAATGAAACTCCAACAATCGATGTAGTCTCACCAACAGTCACAGAAGTTAATAAAGAAGAAGCACAATCTCTGCGTCGTGTCAGAAGAAGACCTGCTTGGATGGAAGATTACGAGGTCACTGACATTCAAGATCACTCATTTTGCTTTGTTTTCAGATTGTGATCCTACAACCTTTGAGGATGCTATCAAAAAAGAAAAATGAAGAAAAGCTATGGATGAGGAGATTGATTCCATTGAGAGAAACAATACTTGGGAGTTATCTGATCTTCCAGAAGGTCAGAAAACGATTGGTGTTAAGTGGGTATTCAAAACGAAGTTGAAAGAAAATGGCGAGATTGACAAGCACAAGGCGCGTTTGGTGGCTAAAGGATACAAGCAGCAATATGGAGTCGACTATACAGAGGTTTTTTCTCCGGTTGCAAGACATAACACGATCAGATTGGTGGTAGCATTGGCAGCTCAAAATTTTTGGCCTATCTTCCAACTAGATGTCAAATCGGCATTCTTACATGGTTATCTGAAGGAAGATGTATTTATCGACCAACCCCCTGGTTATGTTGCAATTGGAAATGAGAATAAAGTTTTCAAATTAAAGAAAGCTCTTTACGGGCTAAAGCAAGCCCCTCGTGCATGGTATAGTCGCATTGAATCTTATTTTCTTAAAGTTGGATTTTCTAAATGCCCCTATGAGCATACACTTTTCATCAAGGTTGGATATAATGGCAAAATTCTCATAATTTGCTTATATGTTGATGACCTTATTTTTACTGGAAATTGTGATGTCATGTTTAAAGAATTTAAGAAATACATGATGGATGAGTTTGAAATGTCTGATCTTGGTATGATGCATTATTATCTTGGAATAGAAGTGCTACAATCAAAGGCTGGTATTTTTATCTCTCAAAAGAAATATGTGGGAGATATTCTTGACAGATTTCAGATGAAGGATTGCAATCCTGTAAACACTCCAGTTGAGTTTGGTTTGAAGCTCCATAAAGATCGTGAAGGGAACAAGGTGGACAACACACTTTACACGCAAATTGTTGGCAGTTTGATGTATCTAATTGCAACAAGGCCAAACATAATGTATTCAGTGAGTTTAATCAGCAGATACATGGAACATCCTACAGAAATGCACTTGTTAGCAGCCAAGAGAATTCTTCGTTACTTGCAAGGGACGAGAGATTTTGGATTGTTTTACAAGAAGGGTAGCATGTCAGAATTGTTCGATTTTGCTGATAGTGATTATGCAGGAGATCAAGATGATAGGAAAAGCACCTCGGGTTACGTTTTTCTGTATGAGACGAGTGTCATTTCGTGGTCATCAAAGAAGCAACCAATCGTCACTCTTTCAAGCACAGAAGCTGAATTTGTTGCTGCAACAGCTTGTGCTTGTCAAGCAATTTGGCTTCGGAGAATTCTAGAGGAGTTGAAATTCAAGCAATCAGGAGCAACCACGATTTTCTGTGATAACACTTCAGCCATTAAGTTGTCCAAAAATCCTGTGCTACATGGAAGAAGCAAGCATATTGACGTGAAGTATTATTTTCTAAGAGATCTTAGCAATGACGGCACAATTGATCTAAAATACTGTAAAAGCGAGGAACAACTGACTGACATACTAACGAAACCTCTCAAGATTTAGGCTTTCCAAAATTTGAGAAGGTTGATGGGTATGTGCACTTCGAAGGACGTTGATGTTGTTAACTGAAGCACTGTAGTGTTCAGCTTAAGGGAGGGATTGTTAGCATAATAACTATTTTTAGTTATTTTACTAATTAATGTCATATGTTAAGTCAATATTGTCCTAGTCTTTAGGAAACTAGTTGATGACTTAGTTAGTTGTGGAGTGCTATTTTTGTCTCATTTGGTTATGTATTTGCCTAAATAAATAGGTCCTGTATTCTCAATTCAAAGCAGTGAAAATCATTCCTTCCTCACATATTTGTTGTCCCCTGTGTTTATTTTCTTTTCTTTTTAACATGTGTCTCATCTCATGGAAGGTAATACCACGAATATTCATCTAATTGACGTGAAGAAAGTTGCATACCTATTGTTGGTCAGGAATGATGGTAAACAAGTCTCTTATTATTAGGTTATTTAAAGAAAGGAATGTGACATGAGTTTTAACGGTTTTATCGAATGAGTTGGGGAATGATTGTTGCATTGTTGTTGATACTGCTTTCATAGATGCCGACAYTGGCTGTAGAAATGAGAGTGCAACACAAGTGAGGACCATTATGAATACTCATATTAATTAAATCTAATAAATAGAAGTGTGAGACTAGTGCAGATAGTTGTAGATACTCACATTAACCCCATAAATGGGAGTGTGACATGAGTGCAGACCAGAACTCACCATAAACGCAACACGCAACGAACGTGAAGTAATGGATCTGATTCACATTCAGGACTTTAACGATTCTATCAAATGAGTTGGGGAGCGATTACTGCATTGTTGTGGATATTGACTCGGTAGATACGAATATTAACACCAGAAATAATAGGAGTGTGGCACCACTATTTAAGTACTAACATTTATCCCAGAAATGGAAGTGCAATGTCATTAAAGAATATTGTAGATATCGACATTAACCAAGAAATGAGAGTGCCACACTAGTGCAAACACTATAGATACTGCCATTGACCCAAAAATGGAAGTGCGATGTAAATATTACTATTAACCCCATACATGAAATTGTAACACTAGTGTTGACCACAACTTACTATTAACGCAAGGAATTCAAACTGTAATGGATCCAATTCACATTCATTCTTTTCCATCCAACTTTACACTAAAAAAGGATTTGCTTTTCAAAAGCGTGGAGAAGAAAATGGAAGGCCTTAGAATCAATTATGGGGTCATTTGAAGAGTCATATACATTCGTTCCGTTCCTTACACAACAAAGTTGATTGAGAAGAATCCAGTTACCGTATATATATTTATTGGTACGTATATGTGTAAATTTACCAAATATTATTCTAAGCACGTATAAAGCCCACAAAGTTGATACCAAAGATAGACTCAAATATTTTTTTTATGGGAGTTGCTCTTTGTGTCCCAAAGAGTTTCATTTAAAACCCTAGTATGCAAAAAGGAGAACGAGAAGAATAGGGAAAAAAAATTCTTCCAATGATAAGGTTAGGGATCCAGTAATCATATTTATCCGAATTTTAAATTTTAAAAAAGGTTATAAAAAAACTATTAAATTTCATAATCTTACAAAATTTTAATAATTATTTATCTACCTTCAAAATATAGAGCATCAATTTTTAAATTAGATTTTAGTTATATAAATTTTATTTTTCATTACCATTGTTGTTGCTCATCTAATTTTTAAATTAAGTTTTACTCGTTTAAAATCCCTAAAATTGAATACATATGTTTAATTTATTACAAGAGTATATTTGTCTTAAAATATTATTTAAGATTATAAAAAATTCTTTACTTAGTCTGTGTAATATGGGATACGTTTGACTATTTTAAAATACCTTATTTATTTTGGTCATTCGTGTCGTGGTCCTTAAATTATTTTTTAAATATTTTTTCAAACTAATTTCTTGAGTTTTAGAATATGTGTTTTTATTTTATTTTATTTTATAATTTTTTTCAAAAAGTTATCAATAAATTTTAGTATACATGTTTTTACAACTTATTTTATTTTATTTTTAATGATTATTATATTAACATAGAAAAAATTAGTGGAATAAGAATTATGACAATAAAGAATAGCTCTAAATACTAATTATTTATATAATAATTAATATGTATGTATATAAACAATATATGATAATATTGTATTATATTGTATCAGACCTTTGGACCGATCCTCGGTTTAAACAGGTTGGCTCATGGGTCAGCTCGATTTACAAAACAAAGATCCATATCTAATTTAATTTATGGATGGGTGGACTGGATAGGACCGGTCAAATGTTAATCTTGGATCAATTATGGGATAGACTTGGGCCAATTTTTAGGCTTTAGGTCCGATGATGAAGCTGAGGTGCGAAACAAACACTTAATTTGTAAAACAAAAAGGAGCAAACGACAGGAATGGCCAAAATAAATAAGCCATTTTTAAAAAGATGGTTAAATGTATTACATATTGCACAAATGGGTGTATGTGATTAATTTTAGAAATTTTAAACAACTAAA